GGACACTATTCAACCCCAGGCAATACAGAGAACACCACAAAGATATTCCTCAAGAAGACCAACCCCAAGGCACATAATCGTTAGATTCACCAAGATCGAAACGAAGGAGAAAATATTAAGGGCAGCCAGAGAGAAAGATCAAGTTACCCATAAAGGTAAGCCTATTAGGCTTACAGCAGATCTCTCAACGGAAACCCTACAAGCTATAAGAGAGTGGGGGCCAATATTCAATATACTTAAAGAACAGAACTTTCAGCCCAGAATTTCATATCCTGCCAATTTAAGCTTTACATTTGAAGGAAAAATAAAATTTTTTAGGAACAAGCAAGTACTCAGAGATTTTATTACCACCAGGCCTGCTTTACAAGAACTTCTAAAAGAAGCACTATACACAGAAAGGAACAACCAATATGACCCTTTCTAAAAATACACCAAAAAGTAAAGAGCATTAACATAAAGAAGAATTTTTATCAATGAAAGGACAAAATAGCCAATTAATATCAAACGGCAGCAACCCTAAATTTAAATCGACCAAATCTCCCAATCAAAAGATACAGACAAAATCTAACGGTATATCCAAAGATATACATAGACTCAAAATAAAGGGTTGGAAAAAAAAAACCTACCAACCAAATGGAGAGTAAAAATAAATAAATAAGCAGGAGTTGCAATTTTCACATTTGACAAAATAGATTTCAAAGCTACAAGGATACAAGGATAAAAGGATTAATGTAATAATAAGAGATCTTAACACCCAGATACATAAGACCCATAATGAGATTTAGATTCAACAAGACAGAAAATTGATAACAATATCCGGGACTGGAACTAAGATCCAGAACAAATAAACTCAATAGGGCTCTCCATTTTAAACACACAAAATATACATTATCCACAAAATCTAACGATATATCTAAAGATATACAAAGACTCAAAACAAGGGGATGGAAAAAAGCTCACCAACCAAATGGAGAGCAAAAATAAATAAATAAAAAGCAGGAGTTGCAATTCTCACACTTAATAAAATAGATTTCAAAGCTACAAGGATGCAAGGGTAAAAGGATTCATACAACAATAAGAGATCTTAACACCCAGATACATAAGACACATAATGAGATTTAGATTCAACGAGACAACAAATTGATAAGATATCCAGGACTTGAACTCAGAACCAGAACAAATAAACACAACAGAGGTCTCCATTTTAAACACATAAAATATGCATTAACCACTTTAAACACTCAAAATATTGATCGGCCATTATTGAAACCCATTTTAGGAATGAAGTAATATTCCTTTTTCCCTCTTTTTCTTTTTTTCCTCTTCTTTTTCTCTTTTTCCCTCAAAAAAAAAAAAAAAAAAACTGAATCAGTGCACTTACTCTTGTCTTTCTCACTACTCACAAAATAAAAAAAAAAAAAAAAAAAAAAAAGACAAGAAAAAAAAAAAAGAGAATAGACAACTTAGAGCGGAGTATGAGTGAATTAATGGAACTAAAGAATACAATACAGGAACTCCGAGAAGTATGCACAGGTTTAAACACTCAAATTGTTCAAGCAGAAGAAGGGATATCAGAGGTCAAAGTCCAACTTAATGAAATAAAACGTGAAGAAAAGATTAGAGAAAAAAGGATAAAAAGGAATGAGCAAAGTCTCCAAGAAATGTGGGACTATGTGAAAAGACCAAATCTACATTTGATAGGTGTACCTGAATGCCACGGAGAGAATGAATCCAAGCTGGAAAATACCCTTCAGGACATTATTCAGGAAAATTTTCCTAAACTAGCAAAGCAGGTCAAAATTCAACCCCAGGTAATACAGAGAACACCACAAAGATATTCCTCAAGAAGAGCAACCCCAAGGCACATAATCGTTAGATTCACCAGGGTTGAAACGAAGGAGAAAATACTAAGGGCAGCCAGAGAGAAAGGTCATGTTACCCACAAAGGCAAGCCTATCAGACTTACAGCAGATCTCTCAGCAGAAACTCTACAAGCCAGAAGAGAGTGGGGGCCAATATTCAACATCCTCAAAGAACAGAACCTTCAGCCCAGAATTTCATATCCAGCCCAACTAAGCTTCACAACTGAAGGAAAAATAAAATCTTTTATGAACAAGCAAGTACTCAGAGATTTTATTACCACCAGGCCTGCTTTACAAGAGCTTCTGAAAGAAGCATTACACACAGAAAGAAACAACCAGTATTAGCCTTTCTAAAAATACACCAAAAAGTAAAGAGCACCAACATAAAGAAGAATTTACACCAACGAATGGGTAAAACAGCCAGTCAACATCAAATGGCAGTAACCCTAAATTTAAATTGACTAAATCCCCCAATCAAAAGACACAGCCAAAACACAGTGGCATGTTACATCCAGACCTGTTTCACATGCAAGGATACACAAAGACTCAAAACAAAGGGATGGAGAAAGATTTACCAACCAAATGGAGAGCAAAAATAAATAATAAATAAATAAAAAGCAGGAGTTGCAATTCTCGTATCGGAGAAAATAGATTTTAAAGCAACAAAGATATAGTGGTAAAAGGATCAATGCAACAACAAGAGCTAACGATCCTAACACCCAGATACGAGACTTAGATTCAATGAGACAGAAAATTAATAAGGATATCAAGGACTCGAACTCAGATCCGGAACAAGTAAACTTAATAAATATTCATAGAGCTCTCCACTTCAAATACACAAAATATACATTCTTGTCAATACCACATCACATCTACCCATAAGTTTAAATGAAACATTGATTGGCCATTATTAATACTCAATTTTTTTCAAAATAAAGCAATATTTCCATTTACTCTCCCTCTTTCTCTTCCTCTTTCTTCCTCTCCTTTACTTATTTTTTTTTTCTTTCCTTCTCTCAAAAAAAAAGAAATCAACTTGTAAACCTCTAGATCCAGGTCGGCAATGTCTCTCTCACTGCTTGATTTCCTTCCTTCCCTTCCCTCCCTCCCTCCCTCCCTCCCCGCTTCCTCCCTTCCTTCCTTCCTTCCTTCCTTCATCCCTTCCTTCCTCCCTACCGTCCTTCTTCCCTCCCTCCCCGCTTCCTCCCTTCCTTCCTTCCTTCATCCCTTCCTTCCTCCCTAACGTCCTCCTTCCCTCCCTTCCTGCCTTCCTCCCCCCACCAAAAAAAAAAAAAAAAAAGTGGAATGGTGGTTGGTAGGAACTGGGAGGAAGGAATGGGGAGTTACTGTGTAAATGGGTAGAATTTCAGTTTTGCAAGTGAAAAGAGTTCTGGAGATAGGTGGTGGTGGTGGCTGCACGACAATAGGAATTTACTTCATACCACTTAGTACCCATGAGCTTAATACCACGGAGCTGTACACTTAAAATGATTAGGGTGATACATTCTGTGTTATATGCATTTTACCACAATTCTAAAAATCAGAGGGAAGTTAATGTGATAAAGCAACCCTTGGCCAGGTGCAGTAGCTCATGCCTGTAATCTCAGAACTTTTGGAGGCCAAGGCGGGTGGATCACCTGAGGTCAGGAGTTCGAAACCAGCCTAGTCAACATGGTGAAACCCTGTCTCTACTAAAAATACAAAAAATTAGCCAGACGTGGTGGCGCATGCCTGTAATCCCAGCTACTGGGGAGGGTGAGGCAGGAGAATTGCTTGAACCAGGGAGACAGAGGTTGCAATGAGCTGAGATTGTGCCATTGCACTCCAGCCTGGACAACAAGGGTGAAACACATCTCAAAAAAAAAAAACAAAAACACTTGATTGTAAAATTCTTTTGGAAAATTATCTGGTGGCACTATCAAAAAATATTCAGAAAAGAGGAGCAATGTGCCAACTGTTAAATCGTGTAACAGTAGGTAAAATGGACTCTAGTCGTGATCTGACAGATCAGTGGAACAAGAATGGGCACTGCAGAAGGGACTCCATGATTGATGTGTTCTCCTGTGACTTTTTTTTTCTTAGTGTAAGTCTCTTATTTTCTTTTGCTGAAAAAAAGAGATCAGTGTCTAGTTGTAATGTTTCTGTTAGGATTATGTCCAGAAAGGGCCAAGAAGCTAGGTTTAAGAGTCGTCTCTGCCAAAGCTAGCATTCGTTCCTGGGCTTTTTTTTTTTTTTTTCCTAGACACACATTTTCAGGCACATCAAATTGGAGAATAAATAGTAATGGAATGCCTGTTACATACCGGGCCTGGTGCTAGAAGTACAAAAAACACCATTTTGATAAACAAAAGAACATAGACCCTGATGCCATCGTTCACATATTCTATTGAATTTATCATATCTATTGATACCAGAGGATATTAAGCAATTAACTGAACAATAATTACTAAGTGAGGACTACATATTATTTATTAGTAATTCTGAAAGAGTCATACTTCAGGGGGGCTTTTAGACATACAAGACATTGAACCAGTTTGAGGAGATCAATGGAGACCCTAGGAAGGGGCATTTGATCTGAACCTTGAAAGCTGAGTTTGTATTAACATCTCCTCTCCCTCTTCATTCTTTTTCTGTTTTCCAGCCTTCTTATACCTCTCTTTGCCCTCACCAACTACCTGGGTTATAATCATCTTTCACTTACAAGCTACTGACAAATAGCTTGTCAAGAGTGGTGAGATGGGCAGGCACAATGACTCACACCTGTAATCTCAGCACTTCGGGAGGCTGAGGCTTGCAGATCGTCTGAGGTCAGGAGTTTGAGATCAGCCCGGCCAACGTGGTGGAAACCTGTCTCTACTTAAAAAAAAAAAAATACAAAAACTTACTCAAGAAGCTGAGGCAGGAGTATTGCTTGAACCTGGCAGGCGAAGGTTGCAATGAGCCTAGATTGTGCCACTGCACTCCAGCCTGGGCGACAGAGCAAAACTCTGTCTCAAAAAAAAAAAAAGGTGGTGAGATGATACTGTTTACAGCCTCCTTCAATCCGGAATGAAACTCTTAAAGGACAAACAGCTTACTTTTTGTTGGATCAAGATTAGAGAAAGTCAAATTTAGTACTTTGCTTTTTTGTGTTTTCAGCAACTCAAGCATCCCAACCTTGTCAACCTCCTGGAAGTCTTCAGGAGGAAACGGAGGCTTCACCTCGTGTTTGAATATTGTGACCACACAGTTCTCCATGAGTTGGACAGATACCAAAGAGGGTGAGTGAGCCATTCCTTACAAACAAAACTAAAACACACTGGGATTTGTGAGCAAAAAAGAGCAATGACTCTTTTTAAGACTAGGTAAGAACAGCCAGTGTTTGTACAACATACTCTGCTACTGAGGTGGACGGCAGAAAAATTACCAAAAATGTTACAAAAGAGATCATAGTCATTTTAATGAAGAAACCAGCAGAAGCATCATTAGAGTGAACTTGATTTCTTTGGTACGTCACTTCTGCATAGAAGAGATTTCAGTCTCTAAGAAAAGGAATGATATTAGTTAGTCCTTGCCTGACTAGGGAGGTAGAAGCGCTTGGAGATTGAAAGGAAGAGCCCAAAGGCAATGGCTACTAGGTAATTTGAGACTAAAACAAACACGGTATTTCATCGGAAGCAATCTGGGTGTCTCATCTGCTGTATTACTCAGGATTTCTTTGCTTTCAAGTGACAAAAACCCAACTGAAGCAAGCGTAGGTGAAAAAAAATGTGTTGCAGCTGTAACTGGCAAGGGTGGGTGTGACTCGGGGGCTCAGCTGATCTTACGATGCATCCCTCTCTAGCATATGCAACATCTTTGTGTGCACTGGAAGGCTTGATGAGCAGACAGAGCCTTTGTCTGAAAAAAAGAAAAAAAAGGAGGAGAGGGTCCCTTCCTGCAGTTGAGGGCAGCCTCTTGCAGGGTGAGCAGACTGGATTCTAGCTCCCAACCACTCCTCAGCTGGGTGTTTTCAATCAGGGCAACACAGGGGGTGGCTCTTCTTTCTCTCACTCTCCCCCAGCCCTAATTCTTCTTCATTGTGCCTTGCAAATAAGCTTCCTTATATGGTGGATTTGGGAGGGTATGTGGGTGGCAGGGGATGGAAGGAGTTTAGAAGGGAAAAGTACAAAATAAAAAGGCCACAGACTTATATCAACCTATGTAACTGTTTTAGAAGAAAAAGGTAGCACATGCACATTAAGTCCAGTAGAACTCCGATTGGCTCAGCTCACTTGATGCAAGTATCCCTGGGGTCAATTACTGTGGCTGGAGGAAGAGGGTAGAATGATTAGCAGGTCCTGGGAGACATTATTCAAAGAAGGCTTCATGGTGGAGGTGGCCTTGGAGTTGAAAGGGGAGGAGACTTGAGAGAAACTGACCAGGGATGAAAAATATCCCATCCTTTCCTTTTTTGGCTCTGTTCCTGGGAGCCCAACTGGCTGGGGATGATATGAAGAGTGGATTATAGATCAGAGCTGTGGAATGATGTCCCATCTCATGGAATGTGAATGGCTCACATTCACACTTCAGTGGTTGAAGGCTGAGGCTCCTCCAACACCTCTTTCAAGTCTTTGAAAAGGGTTTGCTCTGCCGCGTGGTGATGGTTGTATATGATCTGCTGTGACCTCCAGGCTTGTGGCTTGTGGTTTGTTAGTGGCCATAGCACAGAATTTTCATGTTTCAGAATGTTAATTTACATAGCCGGAGAGAGCCAAGAGGACAGACACCTCCCTTCAGAAAGTCATCGATACAGAGAAATTATGTTTTCAAAGGAGAAAACATTCATATGTTGATATTTGATCTTTTGACGGCTTGCAAGTGACACTTCAATTAAACTTATTAATATAAGTTACTCATGGCTGTGTGGTACCAAAGAGGTATATTTGATTAATCATATTGAGTGGCTTGGGAACACTGATTTGTAGGAGTCAAAAGCCAAGAAGGTCAGCTCTTTATTTGGCATACGGTTTGAGCAGAAGAAAAAGGGTGATTACAGTTTTGAAAGCAGATTTTTTAAAATTCCACTGGCTGAAATAGGTTATATGTTCCAGGAAATAGAAAATGCTTTAATATGGGAGTGAGAAAAAACAGAAAAACCTGAAGATTACAAACCTGTAAATTGTGGTTAATTACAAGCAACCTTGTTTCCAAATGGTAAAATGCTATGGCTTGCCAAATACAAGATTTACTTAAGGAATACTATTAAATGTGCATGTCTGAAAAATAAGATATATTCTTAACCAGATTATATCTATTTATTTTGAAGGTTGAGGATTTTTTGTTTGCTTGTTTTAAAAATAAGTCACTTTCGATCATACTGAATAATCATTACTTCTCCAATCTATTTTATTTTATTTTTTGAAACAGAGTCTTGCTCTGTTGTCCAGGCTGCAGTGCAGTGGTGCAATCTCCGTTCACTGCAACCTCCGCCTCCCGGGTTCAAATGATTCCCCTGCCTCAGCCTCCTGAGTAGTTGGGACTACAAACATGCGCCACCACACCTGGCTAATTTTTATATTTTTAGTAGAGATGGAGTTTCACCATGTTGGTCAGGCTGGTTTCAAACCCCAGACCTCAAGTGACTCACCCGACTTGACCTCCCAAAGTGCTGGGTACAGACGTGAGCCACCTCACTTGGCCTCCAATCTACTTTAAATGCAATTTCACATTTTTGCTTGTCATCATTAAGGAGTAAATGTTAAACTGCATCAACCAAAGATTTTGAAATTCATATGAAAATTTTTTAAAATTTAATTTGATTTAATTTAATTTTACATTCTGGGATACATATGCAGGACATGCAGGTTTATTACATAAGTAAATGTGTGCCATGGTGGTTTGCTGCACTTATCAACCCATCATCTAGGTATTAAGCCCCACATGTATTAGCTATTTATCCCGATGTTCTCCCTCCCACCAGCCCCCAGCAGGCCCCAGTGTGTGATGTTCCCCTTCTTGTGTCATGTGTTCTCATTATTCAGCTCTTACTTATAAGTGAGAACTTGTGGTGTTTGGTTTTCTGTTCCTGCATTAGATTGCTGAGGATAACGGCTTCAATCTATCCATGTCCTGCAAAGGACATGATCTCATTCCTTTTATGGCTGCATAGTATTCCATGGTGTGTATGCACCACATTTTCTTTATCCAGTCTGTCATCATATGAAAACTTTTTTTCTGCTAATATTTATTCCTTTATTTAATTCTCTTACATTTATTAGCAATGAGAAGAATGTCAGTGGATACACCCTGGACTAGTAAAGTTGCTTTCCTCAGGGGAATCTAGTTTCTGATTGCAATCAGAATGATTTTAATGTTTTATTATTTGGAATTATAATTGCTATTGGTATTGGTAAATGGTATTTAATTCTTTTTTCTAGAAAATTTTTTTAACTGCAGTTTAGGTTTTGGGGTAGATGTGAAGAACAAGCAAGATTGTTGCATAGGTACATACATGGCAGTGTGATTTGCTGCCTTCCTCCCCATCACCTATATCTGGCATTTCTCCCCATGCTATCTCTCCTCAACTCCTCACCCCTGCACTGTCCCTCCCCTATTTCCCCCCGACAGACCCCAATGTGTGATGCTCCCCTCCCTGTGTCCATGTGTTCTCATTGTTCAACACCCACCTATGCGTGAGAACATGCGGTGTTTGATTATGAAAACTTTTTAATTTAGAGACATCATACTATAAAATAAAATTTTGTAAGCACATTCACAGCAAAGGTGAGTTAGCATTATCTGTGTAACCCTGGGCAAATTGCTTACAGGCGTCTTCACCTGTAAAAATGAGAGTTTAGGACTGGCTGAAGTTTAAGGGGACCTCTAGCTCTATCATGCTATGAACTGATTGATGATCAAGTACCTGAGGAGTCAGAAGACTTCAGTTATCTTTCAGTTTCTGTTTGATTTATTAGACAATATCAGCAAAGAATAAGCTACTGATGCTGGTGTTGCCAGGTTGGGTTACCAGCATGCTTGGTGCCAGGTGGGATCCCCTTAGGTTAGTATACTTACCCTCAGAATGTCCTGTGATCACTTCTTATATTTCTAAGTACAGATTTCTAAAATACAAAGGTGAGCATGCCACTCCCTACATAGAATCCTTTAATAGCTCCCCAAAGCTTACTGGTATGGGGAAATCCCCCCAGCATGATCTTACTCACTGTAATCCCTCCACTCCCCATCAGTTTGCCCATAATACAAGTCCCGTCCTACCAAATAGTTTGCAGTCTAGGGTTCAGGACATGCTACTTTCTCTACTCTCCCTACTTTCTCTACTCTGCCTGGAACACTCCTGCTGTCTGTCTTACAGCTCACATTTGACTCCTTTATGATGCTGCCAGCACACTGCCCTCTGTAATATCTTCTGGGACTGTTTATTTGCATATCCTATTTGCCCAGTAAACCACAAAATCCCAAGGGAAAGAGCTGGGCCTTCCTCACCTCACCTGTGTATTCTCAGTGTCTTCTAGCTGTATATTTGGCACTGGGTACATACCCAGTACTTGGAGAATGACTGAATTAGCAGATCAATAAATTGATAGTTACAAAATGATTTTAAAGAAGGATAATCGGCCGGGCACGGTGACTCATGCCTGTAATCCCAGCACTTTGGGAGGCCGAGGTGGGAGGATCATAAGGTCACAAGATTGAAATCATCCTGGCCAACATAGTGAAACCCCATCTCTACTAAAAAAAAAATACATAAATTAGCTGGGTGTGGTGGTGTGCACCTGTAGTCCCAGCTACTTGGGAGGCTGAGGCAGGAGAATCGCTTGAACAAGGGAGGTGGAGATTGCAGTGAGCTGAGATTCTGCCACTGCACTGCAGCCTGGAGACAGAGTGAGACTCCATCTCAAAAAAAAAAAAACTACTCTGGCGCTTTCTCCCTATCTATACATATCTACCTTTATATTTGGAAATGGTCATATAGAATTCCATTGTATTAATATACAATGATTTCCTAGTTCAATCCCCTATTGATAATATTTAGATTGTTTCCAGTTTTTTTCTTTTTTATTTTTTTGAAATGGAGTTTCACTCTTATTACCCAGGCTGGAGTGCAATGGCGCGATCTTGGCTCACTGCAACCTCTGCCTCCTGGGTTCAAGCAATTCTCCTACCTCAGCCTCCCGAGTAGCTGGGACTACAGGCTGCGCCACCATGCCCAGCTAATTTTTGTATTTTTAGTAGAGATGGGGTCACCATGTTGACCAGGATGGTCTCGATCTCTTGACCC